AAGATTACAAACACAGCCTCTTTAATAAATGGTACTGGAAAACTTGGTTTTCCACACGCCAAAACTAAAACTAAATCCCTATCACCATGCACTAACCTAAAATCAATATACATCAAAGATCTAATTATTAAAACAGAAGCACTAAATCCTCTAGAAGAAATTCAAATACCTGAATCAGTTATAAATTTTAAGTATAAATGAATAATAATTATGACAACAGAAGACTCTCAAAAATACTCACTAAAGTGAAATCAAAGAGTTAAGAGTATTATAAATGTTTTAAGATATATTTTAGCTCTTCTTATATGAACTAATCAGGGAATAAGGTACTCAGTTAATCCTGTATTTTTTCTTCAACTGTTAAACCATATGGTCCATACATGAATTGTGAACTGTAAAGGCAATGGAAAAAAATATAATAAAACATACTGAACATCAGTTATCATGCTGGACATGATTTAGTCTCTTGTCAATGATTTAAAGAGCATTTAGGGATCTTGTAATCTTTCAGAAATGTGAAAATACTTAACAGTGGTAAAGGCAGCAATATAAAAACATTTAATTCAAGGTTATCACATAGTTAATCCTGCTTTAACAAGGTACCAGCAGAACCATAAAGGACACCATTCATAATGTATTCAGAGACTGTAGCCATATATTCCTGTGATTCAAAAGAACAGTGGGTTCTTTAGATGTAGTGTCCATAAGGCATCACTGTGGAACACAGTTAAAAACTTCACATTTCCAGGCTCTGGAAATCCAAAAATTCTGATTCAATAAATCTGTAATAAATTCCCCAGAATCTTCATGGATGAACAGATTTCTAGAGGGAGGTGTTTCGCAAATCACACTTCAAGAAATAATGTACTGTTCCAAAACTTTACTCTCACTTTTTATGATGCTACTCTCACCAACTCTGTAGAAAAGCTGCTATACAATGCAGATAAGGATTTTCTAGGAAGCTTTATGCAAAATATTCAGCAAACATGTATTATGTAAGAGAACACTGAGCAATAGGAGATCCCAAATCTAACATTTTTGCACATAAATGTTTATAGATATAAATGACTTGTCTCTTAAGTGACTTCTAACTCTCTTTTCTCTCCCTCCTACCCTGTATTTCTTGTCATGCTTCCAAACAAAAGAGAAAGACAGACATAGGCAAAAAGAGAAAGGAAGTGAATCCTGAATGACTCTTTGAATCCTAAGAAGCTACATATTTTGGAATGCTTTGTAAGGAGGATACACTAAGGATGAAAATTTCATTTATCTACCAAAATTAGGATAGCAAACCCTAAAACAATTTACTGAGAAAGCCTACTGTATTTTTCTAATGAACAGTATCATGTATTTTAATTATTTCAACAGTGAAAATATGGTTGTGTTATCTCACTGAGAATACAAAACTGCACTAAGGGAATCTGAAACAGAAAATCTACTCAACTGTTTTAGATGAGATATGTTGCTAAGAGATGATCCATAAGAAAAGTAGTAATTATTACTCATTTCACTAAGTTGAGAGGTTACCTACACATGGAAAGTTCCAAGGAAAATCTTTAGTACAGCCCTACAAAAATACCAAAATTCGGACTGGTTTTCCATTTTTTTTTTTTTCTCCCAGAAATGATAATACATTACAATCTTTACCTATGCTGCTAAATTTACTGGCTTCATAGTTCTAGAGTTAAAGTCTAATTATTAACTTAGAATTGCATTTTTACAGTCTAAATTATAATTGCCTAAGAATAGGAAAAATATAAATAAAATACCTACAAATACAGGAAACTTCCTTAAAATTACAAGTAACTGAATGAAAAGTTACTTTAAATTCAGCCACTAAAATAAACATTTTTAGGCCCATCTTCTACAAAACTAGCCAACTGTTAATGAGAATCAGAAAAGACAGCAGTGAGACCAAGCATCAGACACTGAATATGCTTTGGTTTCTCTGATTGGTGTCTTTTCTCTTTCACCTATTTTCTATTTTTTTATATGGCTATTTTCCTTGACAAATCTGAATTTCTTTCTAGAAAACATTTACACATGATTCTAGTAAAAAATCTGAAGTAGTAAAAAAGGTAAAAATGACTAGAGAATGAAAAGAGGAATAAATACACCTCAATATTTATGAATGACATAAATAAAAATGCCAGCTTTCTTGTGCAAAAAAATTGAAGGCAAGATTAATTCACCAAGAATAATGACCATGTGTAAAGACTGAAAGTAATTCAAACACAAACTATGGGTTACATGAATTTTCTCTGTCCTCTAAACTTGATCAGCCAGCTGAAAACATTAGTATGAGGAAAAAGCCTTGCTTAACACTGATTAGGGGTTGGGTGAAAGACCATTTTGGGTACAAAGACCATTTTGTTAGGACCAATGTCCTCTATTCAACTTACTCTTTCTTCTACTTGCTCCCACTTACGATTAAAAAATAAAAATAAAACCCACACAACAGTTTTGCCACAATTTCAAAAGACTAATTTTAAGTTAAAATCTAGTATTATTTTTTACATTAAAATCTACAGTAGAAAAGGACACTTTAAAAACAGTGAATTTCTGCTTAGAAATAAACCACATACATTTCTTAATAATCAACAGGAGACCAGAAACTACCATATTTATACTGTAATTTACATAAATAAAGTATACTTTAAATTTTGACTTTCTAAACTCTAGTCATTGGATACTTCCCTCCCTTTAAGGTTGGTTTCTCTCTTAGTCCTCTTTAAAAAAAATAAATAAATAGATAAAGAATATTGAGGGTAGCCACCAACCCATCTTCATACATAAGGAAAGCAAAGAAAAAGACAGAATAGGGCATTAAAATAGAAAGTTACTATAGTTAGCAAGTAGTTAAATAATCACCATTCCTTTTTCTACTATCCTCTAACCACCTTTATGTTGAAACCACAGTCTCAAAATCTAATTTGGGATTTCTAATGATTTTAAATTTACATACCACATAGTACTCGGCAGGCTACTACATTACATAACTGACCAAAATGTATAAACTGCATATGTATCAAAATAGAAACTAATTTTTCAAGGTATCTACATGAAAATTAGTAGTAATTTCACATTCTAATACATTGAAGTATATAAAATGCATATGAAATTAAAAAATGACAAAATTATATAAAAATAAACAAAATGGATCTTCCTAAAAGTATGGGAAATTCTTAACTGCTATCTTACAAGCTAAATTTATCTGTTCAAAAGTAACTTTTTAGTAAGTGCTATCAATTTTGTATTCACATTAATATAAACATTTTCTTAGTGAAATAAGGATTTTTGTGTCTTACACGTATAATACTTTAATGTGAATTATAAAAACACAAAATTATCTTCAAGTTTACTTAAAAACTAAAAATTTCAACATGTAAACTAAAGCTTTAAGACCAGAAGAGCTAAGTAAAAATGCACACTTTAATGTATCACCCAACCCCTAATCAGTTTTAAGTAGGACTTTTTATCACATGAATAAATTACAAAAAGCTACTCCCCAAAATTCAGTAACCCCCGAAATGGTAAAATGCCTGAGACCATGCACTACTTTTTTCTAAAAGCACTTAACTAGCACTGCCACTTACAGCAAGTTGTAAAAAAACTTACTACATATTTCTAAAGAAATTTTCCAAACAGGGAATATTTCTTAAAAGAGGTAAAAATAATCAGTTAAACTCCTTTAAGAATACATATTTCTGAATCAGTTAAAAATAATGCTTTCCTTAAACTGTATAAATCCAAAATAACTTCTGCTTTATGTACAGATCGGATGCAGGGTGTGGGTGTCTTCTGTCACATGCTAACAAGCTGTTCTCTATCAGACAAAAAATTCAATCTAACTACAATACAAGCTTTAGCTATAGTAACTATTGAGTTGTCACATAAACACTGAATCATTCATTTTAGATGGAAACTAACAAATAATTAACATGCTGACTCTTGGTGCACCCTTCTTTGAGAGTTTAACTTTTACGGACAGTTGATAAGAGCACTTAACTAAAAATAAAGTTCAGTTGGCACAACCCTGCCCAGTAACTCTTTCCTGAACCTTTCCAGGCAGCCTACAATGTGTTTCTCTGTAAGTCTAAAAGCAAGAGGAGGTACAAGGCTCAGTCAGGGAACAGACCTAAACACTGTCATCATCAGCAATACACTCTAAAAGCTTGGTTCTACTTTCACAAAAGTATCAGAAGAGAGCTTTTTGTTCACAGGCTAGCTTGAGCTCCCAGCTACATAGCTTGTCAGTTTTAAAACTGTACAAGTCAATCTTTCTATGCCTTATTTTCCCAGCAAGTTTAGATAAAGCCTTTAGTTCTAAGACCTGATAAGAGAAGAATCACTAATATTAATATTCATCAGAAAATTAATCAGAAGAAAGCCCAGCTTGGAAGGAAGAAGCTAAAGCACTGAAGGAGGGGAAGGGTATCAAGCTCTGGAACTCAAGGCAAAAACACAAGTGAAAAAGATGTTTAGAGGTCAAGACCTACTCCCGAAAGCCAAATGGGCAGGCTCCTCTGGCTTCCATCACTCTCGATGCCCAATCCCTAATTCCTGAACATCATTTCTAAGCCCTTCATTTCCCCTCACCTTCAACTGTCATTTGATCAAGGCTTACAAGACAGGGATGCCTATTTCTATTGCCTGGGTAGAAACCTACTTCTGAAAATAAAGCATACCTCCAAGGTAGAACTCTGAGTGCTACATGCACTTTCCCCTGAACATTCCTATAAACACTGGCTAAAAGCTACAGTGATATACAGTACATCCTTATTACATACTGGGTAAAAAAGTGATCCACAGGCTGATCGAAGGGCTAATAGTCATCGTGTACAAGAAAATGTTTTCATATGCTCACCGTGTCTTTTAAACCAACCTTGAGTATAACACCTGTTGGTAAGCTGCTGACATGTATTCAGTAGATACATTTTTCAAAATGTAAAGATTACTTCCATATATTGAAGAATTCTTAAAAACATATAAATACTTACTGTAATTTTTATAGCTTTGTTCAAGACATTCACCCATTCTACTAGGTCTTGCTGGTCATTGGCTTGTAGGAAGTATTTCCTCATTCCTGCATTCATAACTGGTTAAGATAAAAAATAAACCCATGAAACTTTGTACTTGTTACCTCAAAATTTGTAGCAGCTCAAAAATCTTGCTAGATTCAAAATTATGATTTTCTTGGATTTGATAAAATATATTAGGTCATATAAAGTACTCAATGACATAGTTAAAACTTTTATAGTGACATTTTTCATTAAATAGATAAACCACAATATATCAAGTCAATCCTTCAAGGACAGACATTTAGGCTATTTCCAATTACCAAAATCAGATAAAACATTAGAGGTTTATGGGATAATTATCTTGACAGAAACTTAGGTAATAGGGAATTCATATTTACAATTTTTACATTATTTGCAAATCATCTTCCCAAAAGGTTGGATCCATCACATTCTTTCCAATAGGCTCACAAAACTCTCTTTTATGCTGCACTCTGCCAGTCCAGGCCAGCAGCACCCATGCTAGCTAGAAACTTCTCTTGCTTTCTGTCACACACCTCTGCTACACTGGTACTGGAAGTCTGCAAATGTTAGTACTTCTCAGGCTTCTCTGCCAGTTGGGTTACATTCTGCCAGGGGGAGGTACTGGTGGCAACCTGAACGGTGGGAGTGGAAAGGATGAGGGAGATTTGTAGGTTCTTGCCGACCTCCCTCCAATCATAGCATGCAGCCAGCTACCATTTCAAAACTTTCCAAAGCTCCTTCACCAGCCTTGTGGGGCCCCCACGGATACCAATGACCAGTTTACTGGTGGCTATTCCTCCATAGACCTGAGGAGTACACTGTCTCTTCACTTTTGCCTCTTTAGCCCTACAGTAGAAACGGCTTCATGCAGTTGCCAGTAATTTATAGGTTACTTCAATATTCCACCTTCCAATATTTGGAAAAATAGTTCTCTAAAATAAGTCCCTTGATACAAAAATACTTTATATAGTGTCTTCCTGACCAAACACTAACTAATACAGCATTCTTTGACAACGCAACTACTGAATATATCTTAACTTTGAATTTCTTTGATTACCAAGACAAATTAGTTTTGTATGTGTATTAGTTATCTCTGTTCGTTTTGTGAGCTTGATTTTCTTTATTGATATTTCTGTTTGTGTGTCTTTTAATAATTCATAGGGACGCTTTTATTTAACCACTTTCCTTAGTTTGTTATTTGTCATTTTATTTTCTTCATGGTATGTATGATTAAACAGACATATTCTATTAATTTTTCCTTTAATATCTCTAGATTTCATACATTGGGAAAACTTTAACTTAGTATTATAAAAATAAACACTTTATTTTTCTATTCTTTGAGTTTTATCTAAACTTTTAAGAATTTGGAGCTTTATAAACAATTTTCACACATCTCTTAGGGAAGTAAATTATATAAAGCAAAGCACACCTGTGCATATATTTATTTACAAACTTATTGATGCTGTTGAATAAAAACTATTTATTTTACAACCTGCACATTTGTTAAAAAAAAAAAAACAACAAAAAAACCCTAAGTATTATTATAAGAACTAAGGCATCTGAATGCTCCCTGTTGTGGTTTGTTTAAATGTCCCCCAAAAGCCTCATGCATCATGAGAGGCAGGTTTTTTTAGGGTGGGTGAATATCGTGTTTGTGATTGGTTTGTTGCCTAGCATTAGGATTGGTGGTGTGAGTCCTGCACCCATCCAGGGGCAGGTAACTCATGCACAATATAAAGGAGGGAACAAGGCATACTTTCTCACTTGCCTTTGTGGCTTGTAGCTGTTAAAAAAATGGTTGTCCCTTAGCTACCCCACCCTGCTGAATATCGACCCAGCTGAGTATGGACTGAAACTGCTAAAAACTGTAAGCTAAATAAACCTTTCCTTCCTTGATTTTGAATGTTGGGCATTTTGTCCCAGCAATGAGAGTAAACTGACCAATACACTTCCCTGTTGCAATCATTCAAATATAAAAATAATCCAAAATGCTCTACAGCAAAACTTTAAATGATACCAGCACCCAGCTGAATATGACTAAGAAAAGGAGGAAATGAAAACCCTCAAGAAAAAAAAAAAAAGTTATTTCTCAAACACACAAGATTTTGAAATTGGGACAGAGACCAAAGTATTCAAAACCAGGTCTTCCTTGGTTGAGATGAGGGTCTCAAAAAGGAAGTAAAGCACATTGTGTGAAGTACCACTGGAAAACTAATCTACAAAATAAAGAACTTTAACACACTGTAAATTATTCTTTTGTGTTTCCAGAGATTAGAGAAATTATAAATACCATAAACATTTTAAAATAAAATAGCAACTCAGTATGACACTGCGTACATCAATAACACCCTTCTGTTTTTAACTCCTGATAATCAATATGGTAATTGTTTGGAGTCTTTTTTCAGCTCTCCTCATAACAGCTTTTTCCTCTCAATGTTGTTCTGGGCATTTCCTCAGCATACTGAAGAGTTTAAAAATCTAAGCATTTATTAATAAACTATACTTGGTAAAAAGTAAATGTGTACTACATACACTTCTGAATGAGTACTACTTATAGCACATGTGAAAAGAAGGAAGAGAGGTTAGTATACCTCTGAAAAGCTTCCTGGCACACCTTGCAGCCTGAATAAAAACTCACATGCTTTTATCATTTCAGGGCGAAAAGATCACATCAAGGTGCTATAGAAAAAACAAAATCAGAGCCTGGAATCAGTCACACCAGATTATCTTATCCTAAAGGTATCTTATAAACACATCACCTGACCTCTCAAGCTATTTCCTCATATATGAAATGTGATTGCTATTCACTCCTTCCTTCAGTGGTGGATATGAAGTCTGTAAAGAAATCAGTACAAGCTGGCATGTTGGTACACAAACATCTGTAATTCCAGTGCTCTTAAAAGGCTGAGGCAGGAAGATCCCAAGTTAAAGAACAATCTGGGCAACTTAGGAAGACCCTATCTCAAAACAAACAATTTTTAAAAGAGTTAAGGTTGTAGCTTAGTATAAAGGCCCTGGGTTCAAATCTCAGTATTACAAAATTAATTAAAATTTCAAAAAGAAACTACCACAGTGCTGTGGGCAGAATATTCCCCTTCATCATCATCATCTGGAGATTTCTAAGGAATATAGATGCTTTGTGGAAAACAAAGAAAATTGCTGAAAGGCGATGCATTTGCAATGTCAAGGGCAGACAGGGAAAGGAAGAAAAAAAATTGAAAAAAAAAAAAACAACAACAAAAAACCAGAACTAGGATAACTCCAAGTCACCACGTTTTTTTAGGCAAGGGTTTCACTGTGAACAGGGACATGGCCCCAGAAGTTTGTGTGCTTTCTTAGCACACCAAGTACCATCACACCCAGCACTGTTTTCAGTATTCAGATGGGTATTATGTTAAATCTGTAGATTGTTTTTATTCATGGCCACTGTAACAATGTTAATTCTGCTGATTTATGAACATGGAGATCTTTTATCCTACTCCTATCATATTTCATCCTACATTTATAGCATTTATAGCATTCTGGGTCAAGTGAAATATTATACCGTGTTCTCATCTGCCTTACTCACCTGATCTGACACCATGAGACTGCTGCCTCTTCCCCAAAGTGAAAATGCCCATAAAAGGTAAATGTTCTGAGTCAATTCAGGACCTCAAGGCAGCCACTATAGCACATCTGAAGACACTCAATTTCAGAGATGCTTCAGAAAGTGACAAAAAGGATAGGATAAGCGTGTTCAAAGTGAAGAGTATTTTGAGACAGATTAACAGTAATGTGTGTTTCACTGTAATAATTTTGTACAATTTTTACCATTCACTGTATTTTTTACCACACCTCCTATGATTGTCACCAGATGATACTCTTAACATACTGCTCACCACAAAAACTGTTTCTCACAAGCAAAGAACTTTAGCATTTATTCTGCTCTCTTATACTTCAGTATAAAATAGTCACCTTTATATCAGTTACCACTTTTAATATCTGTCTCTTCTGACACTGATGTCTACTAACATCTTCTCTAAGAGGGTATAACAAGTCCCATATTCAGCTATCACTAAAAGACCTCCAACCTATCCATTATTGACCTTGGAGTTCTATCTAGCCCTCAATCACTGCCACTACAAGTCCAATTAAAAATTTATTTTAATCATATTAAAACTAATCATTAGACCTTGTATTATTCCATACTAAACAAAAATAAAAGGATTTAGTCTTCAGCTTATAATGAGAAATCTGCAGTCTGGAAGTAGGAATAGATAAGGTATATTATCGTGGTGAACAAATATTTAGTGAACGCCTAGTTTATGCCAGGTACTGTGCTTACTACGAAGTTAATAAAAAGCAGTTCCTGCCCTTAAGCTAATCTCACAGACTGGCCTTCTCACAGGCAGATATAATTGTAAGGTTTTGATTATATTTATCATGATTAGTAGGTAGAGATGAGCACAATCTATTTAAGAAGAGTTTCCCAACCCAATGAGTCAGGGGAGTCACAGTGTATGAGGAGACTCTTAAGTTGGAATTCATGTAAACACCTGACCATCCTTTACCAGCTGGGAGAAAAGGTGGGAGAACTATATGCACAGAGGTGTGCAGAGGAGAAGAGCACAGTGTGTATGCAACTGAACACTTAGTTATGACATGATTTGGTTGGGATATAGAAGTGAGGCTTTGGGGTTGGGAATGTGGAAAAATGTTTTATTTCCTCATCTAGACAGCAGTAGCAAGGAATTCACCTTAGAATAAATCCCTGAGCTACACTTTGTTTTCTGTACACTAATTGTTCTCTAATATGATGTAATTGTGTCAGTCTAATTTAAAATAACTATCATAGTACTAATCTTTTACAATAACTTTTTCTTGGTGGCATGATAAATAATGCTAATATTTTAGTATTTTAATAAATACTAGTATTTAGTATTTTAGTATTTATTAAATGTAGTAACTATAATATGAAAGTCAGCAAAAAGAAGAGGAAACCCAGTTTTACAACTCATCAGTAAGGTCAAATCTGTGTAAATTATGCCTGAATGATCACCAAGCAGTATTACGCCACAAAGCTAATGAAGAGGGAGGACTGATGAAACTACCAATTTGGAACTTTTAGTGGTGGCAAATTCAACTTCAATGGGAAAATAAATAAAAGCCAAGACCAAAGGACTAATTCTTAGGAAATATCTACATTCAGGGTTAAGAATGGAAAAGAAAACCCAACAATGAATTATGAAGAAAATCTGCTCAAAAGAAAAAATAACAGCTAGCATAAAATATAACTACTTACCAAAACAGAACTCGGCTTTTGGTCTTAGTTTAGTTGCATCGCTAACCTAACAAGAAAAAGAAATGAATTGCTCAATTCTTCATATGATACTATAACCAAATTTAAGTACTGTATAAGTGTCCATGTGTATGATTTCCCACTGATCTACATGACTATATAATCACTGGAAAATCAAACTTTAAGACATTCCTGCCGACTGGAACCACTGGTGGCACATGAATGACTCCCACTGAGCAGCTTACACTACTGCTGGTATAAACAAATCTCATCACTCTCATCAGTCATTTTACTACTAAAATTAACAAAATGTTTGTAAAGTAAATGGGCCAAATCTAGCTGGTTCTTTGATGTGAATAATTACTGCCTAAATATAAATACTATTCACACCAATTGAAAAGTTATTATAATAATTAACAAATTTATCAAATTAAAAGAAACTTCTTTATATTCAGGAATTTCTTTAAAATATTTTGTACATAAATGCAGCTGATTTGTGCAGAGTACGCAAAATATCATAATGCATTTGGCTTTTTTGGAAGTGACCACAAGACCCACTTTTTCAGATAGTCATGAATGTACTACAGTGATTCAAGTCAGCATAAGTCAAATTCAAATCAGCCACCAAATAGCAAGACAAATGAACTGTGGCCCTGTCATCAATGAGTTAAAAGCAACTGTAAAAAACAGTAAACTACATATAGGATCTGGGTCTAATTCTAATATAGTTAAGAGTAATGACACTCTTATATTTTCTTTGAACAAACTACTTTTTCTCCAAAGGAAATGTGAGAAGTTCAAAGTAAACCAATAGACTTTATGTCACACATACAAATATTTTTAATTTAACATAATCTTCAAAATGCACTCAATGAATACAGAAATGACAAAATGTTTCCAATTGCTTATTTCTAAATAAGCTATGAACTGCATGTAAGAAGTGAAGGAGAGACTCTATATTCAAAGTAAAAAAAAATCCAAGTCTTAATCTGCTATGAGAAATCAACATGATACGCAATTCCCTCTTAATACTTAAGACTACCCCATGGATCATTTTATTGAATGCAGTACAAGATTCATTTCAAAAGGTGAAGCAACTCACTGTACCTGGTTTCTGTTGTCTCTTTAAATAAGGAGCTTTTAGAAACCCATTTGTGTCTATCACTATATTGTTGTCCTATGATATAACCTATAATTGTGGCATCTGTTTTGTACCTCCAAAAGGGATTCTAAGTCTGAGGTTCTCAACTGATCCCAACTACAAATTTACAGCTGAGTCACACTCAAGTTTGTCCCAGGAATAAATTCCAGAAGAAAAAAAAAAGAAACCTAGAATGTCTAAAGTAGAGTACAAACTGTACAACTCAAACTCCAGTGCGCTAAAGACAGAGACAGGAATTTAATAGCACTGAGAGAGAACAGGATGTACTGTATTTTAAAAGGGGAGCAGTGGAGGAGAGAAAGTAGCTGGTCAGTCTCTGCGTCTGCCTCACTGTTAATACTTTCAGAAAAAGCTCCTATTCTCAAAAAGACTAGGCAACAAACAATTGAAAAGATACAGACAAATGGGTAACCTCACTCTCAAAGGCCTATTCTAAAAAAAGAGTACTTTCCACACCACTTCGTTGAGAGTAAAAAATGCTCAGCAAAAAAAAAAAAAAAAAAAAAAAAAGTGGTATATTTCGACTGTATCATTCATGTAGTACAGGCAATCAAGTAAAATAAAAAGTTTATTTTACAATGGAATTCTACCTTTTTTACTAATAATCTCTAAAAACTGAGCCTGCAAACTATACTGAAGAATTTTTTAAGTGTTGTTATAGCCACATGACATATACAATACTTATCTTCTACAAATTTATGTAGTATGACTTCAAGAGAAAATATTTCATTTTAAATATGTACTCTTTTATTATCCAATGGCTTGTACATACATATTTTGTCAGAGAACAACTATAATAATTTTGATAAAGTTTTTATTTATGAAAATGTGTCTTCTAAACAGAGGCACATTTATAAGTTGATACTCAGTTGCAGGAATCCACCTTTGCCAATGGAATGCAGCATATGTGTAACATTATTTAACGACATCTGTTTCTATTTTTGCGTCTCATCTTTCAAGTCACCAATATACTTTCATGTATATTTGAGCACTATCTTAGTGCTCAAAACACTAACAGAAGAAAATTTAATTTATCTGACAATATAAAACCTGAATTTTTAAAAACAGAAATAGTATTATAAAATACAGAAAAGCACTAATGGGAACTAGCAGACACAGAGTAAAACGGACATGAAGATGGTCTATATTTCCTTAAAACATAAAGAAAAAAGTCAAAAACAATGGGATTTAACAGTTAGAAAAAGTCTATATAAATATACAGACTTTATTAGATATAGTCTAACTATAAACTAATTCCTCCCTTTCTGATGTTCACAACCTGATCATAACAGTATTAGCTTCTGCAACTTGCCACACCCTGTAACATCAATTCATACTCTTCCCAATTTTATCAATTTAAGGAACTTCCTAACCATAGCTTTCAGCATGTGTGAACTTGAGCATCATGAAATGATACAGGAGATTGTTAGCTGCCTCTTCTGTCCACAATTCCATTGGGGGAGAAGGGGATTTTAAGTCACACATGAAAAGTAAGACAATATATAACAGCTACCTTTGAAATGTAGGTAAGTTTAATGGCTCCAACACGTGCTGATCCAGAGGGTAGGTTCTGGAAACAAAGTAATAAATCATTATATATGAATTACAAATTCATCTTATAGCAATGTTTTACATACACTAAAAATGATAAGAAACTAGATTTCTTAATATCACAATTTACTCATCAATTTTTTCAGCTTCAGCATTTACTAAGTCTGAGATTATGACAGTCTGGTTAACAATGCTCTATTCCATCATAATGCATTCTATAATTAAGAGGCCACTCTTATCAGTATAGCTAATATTCTTTTTCATGAGCCTAAAGAGCCATGAACAAAATCAGATTTTGTTTCTGAAAGGAGTGGGAAAAACACCTAGAAGCATAAGACAAATACAACTGTAAGGAATTTGAAAAGACCATATGTAGTCTTTTAAATAAAGTTTGATCTATTAGAAACTGTTTTGTTTTGGTTAGGGACAGGATCTTGTTATGTAGTTCAGGCTGGCTTTAATCACACTATACAGCCCAAACCGGGCTCAAACTCACAATGATCCAGGCATGTACCCAGTCTATTAAAAATTCTTAACCAAATATATCTTTTGAAAAACTGTACTAGAATTTTTCCCTCATTTAAATGGTTTAGTACCCATAATAGCATTAATTAATTAATAGGTAAGTTATCTATCTACATTTTGAAAAATATTCTCTCTAAGTCATATGTAGAGAATGTATGAACTTTAACTTTACACACAAAATATTTTAGCCTAATGTTCGCATCATAAAAGAATTAAGGGAAAAGAATTATAAAGAGAGAGTTATTTCTGATGGAAGATATTAGGAAAAACTCTGAAGAAAAAAAAAGACTATTCCAAGCTGAGTTGACAAGCTTTTCTGCAAGCAATTGACAATGCCCAGGAGCTCAAAATGAGAAAGTGGCTGGTTGTATTGGTGTACAATAGAAAATGGTGCTTTAGGAACCTGAACTGAGAATCTAATCATAGAAGAGTTAAATGAAAAACAAAGGAAGAATTGGTATTTAAAACCAATGAATATTTATGTAGATCCATAATCAAAATCATGCTTTAATTAATACATCTTAAAACACAATACACTAGATGGATTTATAAAAGGGAAAGATAATGATAGTAAAACCAAATAAACAAGTCGGAGAAAAATTACAAGGAATATAACTGAAAAGACTGACAGATTTCAAAAGTAAAATTAAAACAGCACTGTAAACTACTTCTGCTGGAAACTAAGCAGGGTCAACTTTTTAAATGACTTTACAATAATGCACACTAAAAGAAAACCTATAATCTTGTCTTAATGAATAATTAGAAAGTACTTTATTCAGACCTCCAAAAGCTTACTAGATGGACTGGGGATTTAGCTCAGCGGGCATAAGTGCCTGCCTTGCAAGCAGGCAGTCGTGAGTTCGATCCCCAGTACCGATAAAAAGGAAAAAGACTTAAAAAAAAAAGGCTTACTAGATACCTAGACATACTTAGATACCTAGAGTTAAGATTCTGAAACATGACCTCGTTATTGTTAGCGGGAAAAAAATCTTCAAAAAATTCAACCCTATGTATTATAAAACAGCATGATCTTCTCTGTGTTGTGTTCCACACTGTATACTACATGGAAGTTTCCCAGTGTAACATGAATAAAAAATACATACATATATATAAATTAGGATTACACATTTTTAATGTGTAACTTGAAAAGGTTATTTACATATATATATATATATATATATATATATATAAAATGTTTTATGTGTAAGATTTTTGGTATTTTTAAGATATGTTTTTTTGGTGTTTTTAAAAAATGTTAGATAAATGCAGCCTGAGCTACATGAGACCGTCTCAAAAAACAAAACAAAACAAAAAAATCTTGGATAAGTAAATGAAATGTGAAAATGTCCACAAGCATCCTTAACTCGTTGGGAATACAGCTCAGTGGCACAGTACCTTCCTGGAAAGCACAAGGTCATGAATTGGATTACCAGTTCCTTAACTTTCACCACACTGGGTTTCTTAAACATTGTTTAAGAAAAAAAAGTTCCGGGGCTGGGGATTTAGCTCAGCAGCATAAGCACCTGCCTTGCAAGCAGGCAGTCGTGAGTTCGATCCCTGGTACCGATAAAAACGAAAAAGACAAAAAAAAAAAAAAGAAAAAAAAGAAAAAAAAGTTCCTTAACTATCACCACACTGGGTTTCTTAAACATTGTTACCCTTCTATTCAATATAATTTTTGGGGGACTTCCGGGAGAACATGGTGGATAGATAGCAGCAGCTATGGAGGCTCTCTGAGATACCCCACTTAAAATCCAGGACTGATGTGGGATAAGAAGTCCTAAGCAAGGGGAGATATACCCTGCCGATCCAGGAACGAACTAAACTAAGAGAAACTAACTGGAAGCGCAATCCCAGTGCTATAACAGGAACAGATAAGGTCTCAGCACGGAAGCTGGAGCCCACTCCACTGGAAGCCGCAATTTGAATTTCCTGCAGCTGCTGCTGTGTCCCAATTGGCACAGCAAAGAGTGAGGCGTGAAAGCTCTGAGAGTGGGAAGCAGCGAATGGAGTTGAGAGCGGGACTGGCCGGGAGCCCTGCATCGACCTGCAGTGAGTGAGCAGATCAGGAACCCTTCCATAGAGTAGGAGGCTTCAACAAAGGACATAACGGGACTGGGCAGACTAGCCGGAAAAGGCTGCAGTGTCTGTAGTCGCATATTCCCCTCTTAAGCGGGATTGGTGGGGAGTGCCTGGCCTGGGTGTTGTCACTGACTTAAGACCCAGTAGGCTAGCTGAAACCAGGTCCCAGCACCTGGAGATGCACCCTAGCAGTGAAGCCTTCGGTAGGTTGACCTGGAGGGGCAGGCCCAGCAGAGGCTGCCCAGGTCTGTGTCTCCCTAGTACACTGCAGTGGGCAGGAACACCTAGCTGGCGCAATTCAAACTAATTGTAACCAACAAAGAAAGAAACTGGGCTTCCTATATACGCTTGTATGGAAGAAACAAAAAATATGGGAAGAGGGAGCAACAAGAAAGGGTCCTCAGCCCCCAATCCTGAGAAACATGCAATATCAGACCCGGCACCAACAGACATAAAGCGGTATCTCCAGAGCCTCATAGACCAGTTCAAAAATGAAGTTATTAATGACCTAAAGCAAGATATAAGTAGAATAGTTAGAGAAATGCTAAGCACTGCCCAAGAAAAAAACAGATGGTAGAATGGAAGAACAGAAAAAAAGGGGAGAATTGTTTGATGGAGAAAATAGAGAAAACATAGAATACGTGAAGCAGGTTCAAAGACATTACCAGGAAACTAAAAACTCTATCGAAAGCTGCCATAACAGCTTGACAGAAACTAAGTAAGGATAGATTATCTGAACTGGAGGGCAGATTTGTAATGTGGGAGCATGAAATGAAAAACTTCTTAAAAATAACAAGAAAACAAACAACAATAATACAAAGGCTAGAAGATGATAAGGGGATCTATAACTTAAGAATTAAGAACATAAAAGAAGAAGTAGGGACACAAACAAATGGACTACAAAAGCTATTAGCAGAAATAATCCAGGAGAATTTCCCTAATTTAGCAAAAGGTAAAGATACTCAGATGTATGAGGCATACAGGATCCCAGCCACCTACAACCCAAACAGAGCTACACCCAGGCATATAATAATCAAAATTCCAGAAATCCAATATAAGAACAGAATATTAAAGCCGTCAGAGACAAGAAACAGATCATTTACAAGGGAACACCCATCAGAATTACAGCAGACTTCTCACCACAAACGATCAAATCACAAAGAGTGTGGGGGAAAATAATTCAAGCTTTGAAAGATAATAACCTCCAGCCAACATTGATATATCCTGCACAACTGTCCTTGGAAATTGATGGAAAAACAAAGTGCTTCCAGGATAAAGAGGAACTAGGGGAATTTGCAACCACCAATTCAACTCTACAGAGAATACTGCAGGATATTCTAAACAAGGAAAATATCAAGATTCCAGAAATAGTGGCAGAGAGGCCACAATGAATGGAGCAGAAAGAGAAATGAAAGACAAACTGACAACAAATGACAGAAAAAGAGCTCAACAGAACTGAGGCAGAGAAGATTGGATGGTAGGAACAGCTATTTTGGAGAAAACAAGACATCATAATAGCTAGTCCTGATTTAGTATCATCTTGTTTTGAAGTACCATCAAGCTTTTATTGTTCTGTCTCCATTGGTCTTAACAGGTTGTATCTTACTGGATTTTATTATATGTGATAATATAAGCAAAAACTTTTACAGACAAGATTATACAGAAACCATTGTTCATTTTCTGTTAGTTGGTTCTAAATTCCCTGTAATAATGTCATTCTCTTGAATGGTTTTACATTGTCTGGATATGTTTGGTGCTACAGTATACGAAGTTATACTCAAAGATTTCAAGGAAAGAGACACTATGGTAACTACTTTTAAGTCAGGATATCTTGTGATGAAACACTATTTTGCTTAAATGGTTATGTTTTGACCTGCGCTGTTTTGTTGTTATGCCCTCTTTTATCTCAATCTCCTTTTTTTAATTATTTACTTTTTTATTTTTATCTTTTTAATTAAGGGAAAAATAAATAAAAAATAGCAGGATACATTATAGTAACCTACTTTGATTTCCTATCAACTTGATTTGAAACCCTGTATTGCCCTCACCATCTTGTTTTGACTGATTTTCCCCTATTCTGCTTAGCTTGATAGTACCAAGTTCGAAAGTATAGGCAACAACTGTGAAGACAGTAAGATTCATTATGACGCCCATTCCGGTTGACTATTATCTTCTTTTAAAGTCCTGTAATGTCTCCAGTGTTTTGGTTTTATTCTTTACTGTTTTGTTCAATTTTATTATAACTGATGATATAGGCAATTCTTCTTAAGATAGCAAGAGGCAGTATGGTAACCATTGTTGATCACTTTGTATTTTGTTTTTACATTATCTATTATGTCCATCCTTTTGATTTGACTAACTCTGTTCTGATATGTCGCATTTGGTTTTACTCTCTTCAAAAAAAGTAATAAGAACTGTGGGAGTAATAACACCCAAAATGTGTAATTGTCATTGTACAAAAGAAAAGAAAGTGCTCTAAAGGTTATAACTGCATATATGTTTAAGTGTATAAGATAGATAACCATATTACTGAGTTTTGTTAGATCATTGAACAAAACTGTTTGCAGTCTCACTGTTTGAAAGTCCACTTTATATGCTTTAATTTTGTAACTTGAACAACTATTTCTAAGATGAGATTATGTAATCTATTAACTAGTGATTTCTTACTGTTTATTTTTTACATTTTGTATTACTTGTACCCTTTTTGGTTTTTTTTCCTTTTCTCCTTAAATAAAATTTTTTTAAAAAGGTAATTTTTTTCTTTTTAAGTCTCCCATAAGTCTATTATTCTAACTAGCTGAATAGAGCTTTAGGTTTTCACATGAAGAAGAAAAGTGAGAAAGCAAGGCATGACATAGAATTATAGATTAAACAGCAGCACAGTAGAAAACAAGTGACTGGAACATAAAAACTATCATAAATACCCATTTTATACGAATGAGAATAATTGCTGTCAAGTTCAATAAGAAAACAAATTTGAGTTTCAAAGTAAGTTATTTAAAAAAGAATAAGAATAAAGTATATAAAATTTATGATAAAGAGAAATGTTATTTCATTTATTTATGAGTTCCTGAACTCATTTCCTGAACACTTTTTTTTTTTGGAGACAATACCTCACTTCAATACATACTTCAAGCTGGCCCTGAACTCACTGTATAGCCCAGGCTGCCCTTTCTCTCTCTCTCTCTCTCTCTCTCTCTCTCTCTCTCTCTTTTTTTTTTTTTTTTTTTTTTTTGGTGAGACAGGGTCTTGCTATCTAGCTGAGGCTGACCTTGAACTTGCTATGTAACCCAGGCTGGCCAGGAAATCAGCGATCCTCCTACCTCAGCCCCCAAAGGGCTGGAATTACACGAATATCTCACTGTCACCATGCCTGACAGGCTGCCCTTGAACTTGCAGTATTCCTTCTACTTCAATACAAATGCTGGAATTATAAGCGTGTACCACCAAGCCCAGGTCAAATACTTTTTCAAGCCTCTTCAAATTCATTTCCTAATGAGGCTACTTAATTAATTCTTCATATTATCAATCTCTTCAAAAAAAATGGAAAGCCCCACATTGATTTGCTTCAACATATTTAAATGGATTTTTAAACCAATGGTTAGTGGCCAAAATAAATAGCAGTAGTGAAAACAGGAAGTGGTTCCCTAAGGACAAGTAAACCAAACTAATTTTGTTTCTGTAGCAGGATTAGTGTGATCAGTATAACCATACTATTGCACTCAGATACAAGCAACAAAACTGAACCATTTGAAATAGCCATTTTTCAGTAATTTAAAATGGCTGTAAATTAACAATTTCATATGGTCTAACCTAATACAATAATCTTAGCAATATGTTTAACTGAAGTTTCTATGAAGAGCTATGTCTTGATCATTTCATTTAAAAGCAACAAAAACTGAGCATAGTGATAGTCTACAATCCACACTACTGAGTAGGCTGAAGGAGGAGGACCACAAATTCAAGCTCAGCCTAGACAATTTAGTGAGACACTGCCTCAAAATAAAAAATTTTTAGAAGGGTGGAGGACATAATTCAGTGACAGAGCATTTAGCTATCACACAAGGCCCTGAGTTCAAGTTTCAGTACCACAGAGGGGGGAAAAAAGTTGACACAAAAGTGAAGTTAATGATCAAACTAAGATTTTAATAGATTCTCATAAATTAGAAAGAAAAGATAAAATTAGTAAGAATTGAAAAAGGATTTAAAATCTTCTACTGTGTTCAGAAAAACCAATGCAATAATTAAAACGGACACACAGCTTTTAAAAAGTTCATGTAAGAAGCTTGGGGTGTAGCTCAGCGTAAAGCACACACTGAGCGTGCATGAAGCCCTAGGTTCAATCCTCAGCACTCCATCTCCCCCAAAAAAGTTCACACAAGTAAGACCTAGCTGAGTGCAACTTAACAGATACCCTCCCTACTAAAGCAAAATATTGTCCTAACATGCTGCCAGCTCTCTTGCATTGATTTTTCTTTGCCCACAGTACTCTTTGAACATTGCAGTACCACTTGCAGGTATCTTGATCAAAATTATATCCAACCCTCTAGTCAATTTCAAATGTTACCACTTCCATAAAGATATCAACCCCCTATAGTAGCTATAACTACTATACCCTTTCCTCTGAATTCAAAGTTCAGGTTCCATTCAAAGAGGCAAATACATAGTTTTATAATAAATCTGTTCAGTGAGAAGTTCTGAAAAAAGGAAGACTTATGAGAAGAATCTATAATGCATAAAGATAGAAAAATACTCAGAGGTTTTAAGTAAAATTTAGGAAAAATCAAATAATAAATTATGCATCCCTCATGAAGAGGCCAATCAACAGACCAAACTGCCATGGCTCTAGAGGAGAACAAGGAGTTGGAATCTGGTAAACCATGATTACAGGTAATCATGAGCCAGTTTCTACCTTGGGAAAGGAACTTTTAAGGAGGTCTTGTCCCAGACAAAGACACATAGAGTCATAAAAAGGAGAATCTCTGTGTATTTTTAAAAGTAAATGTGAACTTTTAATTTCTGCTGACAAGCTGTTCCTCCCACTGACTCTGGCCAAGTAAATAAAGTTAATAATCACATGGCAACACGGCCAGGTGGCTACCTCCCAAGAAAGGTGGTTATGCCCAGAGATAAGGAAGCAAAACAGACTGTCAAGCTCTGCAAGGACAGTGATAGTAGACAGTTTCTAGCGCCCTCCAAAAAAACCTCATTAAAGTCATTGCTCAAATAATGTATCAGAGATAAGACAGTATTTCTAGTCCAAGGAGAGAAAGTATATACTCATGCATAAATTTTTATCAAATAAAGTTGTTTCACCTTCTAAAATTTCAACAAGACAGGGTTACAAGGCAAAGAAAATAGAACTAGTACAAATAAATCTAATTTTTCATTTGGGAAGACAAATAGTAAAATTTATATGTCAAATGCTTGAATAATTCAAACTTCTATATGCTTTTGAGAGGTAATCTTTGGATTTTACAAACCTGTGGATTATCCATGTACCACACAAAACTATCTTCTTTGGTATCCAGTATGAAGTACCGTCGAAGAAATTTCCCACTGTTTTCATTTTCTTCAATATCTAGAAAACCACAAATGCGATTCTGACGATCCACATAAGGCATTTCTGGGCTTGAACATTACACTGTTAAAAAAAAAAAAATTAACAGTAAGCTCCCAGGAAAAAGAAAAGTATTCCTCAATAGACTTATTCAATCTATGCTATGGTGCAGTCTGTTCAACAAGAATCCTACTTTTCAGTATTAGAAGAGGCCAGCAAATATGAACCCATACCAACATCTGAAGCATGAACAAGTATCACATTAAAAATTACATTTACTATTCCTGCTTAATAAAGGCAACTGTTAACACTGATGGAGCAAAGAGCCATTTCCCTTCAGTTGAATAATTTACTCTATATGAGTCAACAATTAGCTACTCATATTTTAATTTCCTTGTAAGTGAAGATGATCTACCTTTTAGATTGTCTTAGAATACTCTAAAATTCACAGCAGTATTTACTACTGTATGCTAGGCTCTGCACAAAGTTCTTTTCTGTGCATTATCTTATTTAGTTGTCAAAACAACTCTATGAGTAGGCATATGGGCCCCATTTCACAGATAAGGAATTTAACATAAACAGGAAGTGATTTTTCTCAGATTTCAGAATTAGTAGGAAAAAAATAAAAACTTGAATCCAGATTCCTGAAGTACAAAATGCCTATCTTAAGACTTAAACCATCCTTTCTCTCTAAAAGCCCTTTGAATTATTAAAATGAAAATGAATCAGAAAAAGTTTAGCTAACAAAACAAAAAAAGAAAGAAACAGGTACTATCTATGTTCTGATGAACAACATTCAGACATCACCAGGAGGGAACACAAAAATCTTTTCCAATCGAAAATCTAAATCCAATCAAATTAGATCAAATTAGATCTCCTACCAATTTACAGAAAATCCAGAACATAAGAAACAAAAGGATAAACAATCCATTTTCTTCAGCCAATAAATTACTATACAGAAAAGATAGAGAAAGAGAGGAGTTATAAATTGAGACAAAAGGCTTATCATAATTGGTTCTAAAATATTTAAATTTTGGTTGTATTGATTAAAGTTAGAAATCATGACCTTTGTAAATAAATTTTGATCTAGGAACTATAGATACATGATTCCTTCCTGTGACAATCCAAATCTGCAGACAGCTATTTGTATTCTGGTCATTCTATAATCAATTACACATCTTTTGGCAGGATGAATTAATACAGTTCGCTTCATTTAAGGGCTCAAAGTAAATTTAATTCACAATGAAAATGCAATTACAGTGTACTTTGATATAGTGTATATTTATATGAAAATTCTGTATGTAGTCAAAGAAATTGTGAACAACAATTTTACATGAAATTATCCATTAAATATGTATATGTTATAAATCTGGTGTTTACTCAAAGTTTAAAAAGCTGACATGCAATTAAAGCTTAAAACATTAATGCCTTACACAAATATACACGATCAGTAAAAACCATTTTGTGTGATACTGCCATAAGGATAGACATACACAAATGAAACAGAATGGAGAACCCAGAAATAACCAATATATCCATAGCCAACTAATTAACAGCATGGGTGATAACACCATTCAATGGGAGACAGAATATCTTCTTCAATCAACAATGTTGAAATGAAATATTACTCAGCTATAAAAAAGGATGATCTTGACACTTATAGGTAAATGCAGGCAACTTGAGACTATCCTCATGTGTGAAATAAATAAGACTCATTTTTAAATATCACATTGTCTCTAGTGTAAAAAATAATAAAAACTGAAGGAATAATAAGATCCAAAATGTATAATACATACTGTAAAAGTGAAAGGGAAATGCTCTAAAGGATATAACTGTATATATGTTTAAGTGTATAAGATAGATAACCATATTACCAAGTTTTTGTTGGATCATTGAACAGAATGGTTTCACTGTCATTGTTTGTCTACTTTTATGCTTTGATTTTGTAACTTGAACAACTATTTCTAAGATGACAATATGTAATTTATCAACTAGTGATTTCTTTGAGTTTTTTTTGAAATTCTGTATTACTGCTACTCTTCTTTCTGTTTTGCTTTTTTTCCAAATAAAAATAAACAAACAATGTTGACATAACTGAATAACCACATGAAAGAATGAAGGTAGACCCCTATTTCACATCACATACTAAAATTCAAAATGAATGTATAACCTAAATGTAAGAAATTAAACTACAAAACTTTTAGGAGAAAATGTAAGGGTAAAACCTCTGGATTCAATAATACACACTTAGCTATAACACCAAGAGTATGAATAGGAGAACAAATAAGGTAAATTAGATTTTATCAAAACCAAAAGCTTTTATGCATCTAAGGACACCAAGAAAGTAAAAACAAACAAACAAACAAAAAAACAGGATGGAGGGGGCATATAATTCATAAAAGTCTAGTATCTAGAATATATAACTCTTTTTTAGTAATTCTTAAAATATAAAAATAAAAATTTAAAAATGGGCAAAGGTCTTGAGGCATTTCTGTAAAGAAGATACACAAATGGCCAACAAAAACATAAAAAGATGCTCAATATCATTAGTCACTAGGAACAAGCAAGTTAAGATACCTCTTCAGCATGGTACAATGAGACACTTCTTCATACCCAACAGAATGGCTATAATTGAAGAAAAAAAATAACAAGTGCTGGCAAGGACATGGAGAAATTGGAACTGTCCTATATTATAAGTAGAAATATAAAATGATACAACTATGTAAAACAGTTTGGCAGTTCTTCAAAAGTTAAACATAGAATGACCACATGACCTAGCTTCCACTCCTGATACATACTCAGAATTGAGAACAAGTACTCAAACACTTGTATGTGAATAGCTGATAGTAACACAATTCATAATGGCCAAAAGATGAAAACAACTCAAAAATCCATCAACAGGTAAATGGATAAATAAAATAAAATAAACAATGTGCATATATGTAAATACGTATATATCCACATATATATCTAATGAGATTCTATTTAGATGTAGGAAAGAAGTACTGATTCACGTCGCCATCTGGATGAACCTCTAAAACATAATGCTAAGTGAAAAACACAACAATAAACAGCCACATACTGTATAACTCTTATCAATATGAAAGATCTGCAATAAAGGAAATAAAAAAGAGACTGATGGTTGTCAGGGCCTGGGAGCAGGGAGAAATGAAAAATAATCGCTTAACAGGTATAGGCAATGAAAATGTTTTCACACTAGACAGAGCTGCTGGTTGTAAATTTATTAAATACTATCGAATTCTAAACACTAAAAATGCTAACTTTATTTTAATTTCATCTCATAAAAAATTAACTACATGGTATCTTAACATTACTATGCAGTTTCTACAATGACTGCCCCAATGCAGTTATCTTATTAATTTAAAAAAGCAGAGCATGTATTTTATCTAGTAGGAAAAAAAAAAATCACTGTCTGGGAATGCGCACTGTGGGAAAACTCAGCTGTCATACAGGAACTCTGATTACTTTGAAAATGCCATGTTACATAATACTCAACTAAGTCCTGTACTTCAACAGGAGCTACGTGAAGAGGAGTGACAGATCCTACTCAGCTGTCCCAGCCATCCCAGAAATGATAAAGAGGCTGTGGTCTTCATTATCAGCCTACTCAAGCTCCAGAGGACTCTAGTCCCAGCTGCCATGTGACTACAACTGCATGAGAAACCCCAGGAAGGAACCACTAGATGAATCCAGTCAACCTACAACAGTAAAAGGTACCAACTTGTTTTTTTTAAGTCACACACAAAAAACCCTTCATTCATTCATATATGCATACACACACACATCCTTTATCCAGTATGCTTGGCTCCAGAAGTGTTTCAGGATTTGGAGCTTTTAGGATTTTGAAATTTACAGAGATTTTATTGGCTGAGCAACCTAATTTAAAAAAAAAAAAAAAAACCTGCAATCTGTAATACTCCACAATCTGAAACTTTTAGAGTATCAACATTACACACAGAAGTTTTAGATTTCAGATTTTAGATAACAAACTTGCATAATGCATTAGGGAACTTTGTTTAATACAGTCTTCTGGATTTTTGCAGCATTTCTATAGATCACCTGGATAGCATCTGAAAATCAAAATAACATAAGTAAACCATAGGTGAAAGAAAGAAGAGAAATTAGAAAATCTAACTGAATGAAAATGTAAAAAGTCAAAACTTGTGGGATGCAGCTAAAGAAGCATTAAGAGGATAATGTATAACTTTGAAATGCTCTAATTTAAAAATAAAGAGATCTAAAAATCAATGGTCTAAAGCTCCACTTTTACTGCTTGTTGGTGTTTTGGCCAAGACCAAGTGTAAAGTTCTACCTCAATAGGCTAGAAAAAAAAAAGTTTAAGTTTACTTAAAAAGAAAGTAAGTATTAGAAAAAAAAAAGTTTAAGTTTACTTAAAGAGAAAGTAAGTAAGTATTAGAAAAAAATTAATGAAATACAAAACAATAAAGAAAGGAAGTTAACTAAAATCAAAAGCTGGTTCTTTAAGCAGTAAACAAAATTGGTAAATTTATTTTATGTGAACTAAATAAAAGAGAGAAAAGAAGCTAATACTGCTGAGTATGCTGGTATAGCCTGAAATCCTAGCACTATGGGAGACTGAGGCAAGAGGATCACAAGTTTGAGCACAAACTGGGCAACTCAGGGAGACTCGTCTCTGAATGAATAAATGAATTGGGCTATAGCTCAGTGTAAAGGCCCGGGATTCAATCCTCTGTAACAACAACCATTTTTAAAAAGCCAGTATTAGCAACTATGCAGAAATTATTATTGTACACCCTATAGATACTCAGTAGACAATAAGAATATTATAACAACTTTATGTAAAGAAATGACAACTTAGAGGAAATGGACACATTCTGTGAAAACAAAGATTTGAAAAAACACACATGATGAAAATCTGAACTACCCTACAACTGAACTCATGACTAACACATTCCTCCACAAAAAGTACAATCCCAGAACATTTCATATGTAAATTCTATTAATCATGTAAGCAAGAAATACTACACAATTTTTATCAAGCTTTTCTAGTACACAGGAGAGAACGTTTCCTAAGATGTTTA